GAAGGAGAGTTAGTGAATATTATCAATACAGGGCGAGGCAACTAAAACGGAACAGCATTTTTTCCCAGAGAGCATTTAGTTTTCCTTTACGCGGGCACAGATAGGTTCAGCCATGTTTCATGCACTACGTGGATTTGGATGATTGTAGTCGTTGCATTTAGTGTTATCCCTCCTAGCGTTACTGTTGTAGCTTTTATGTTTCTCGTCATTGACCCACACGTGACTCACTGCCTTTCCATCCCCGATAATTCCATTCTGTTTGGAGCTTTGGCCCCTTACATGGCCATCTGATAAGGACACTTAATAATGGAATACGCAGACAAGACTATTCCGCCCGGAGGACATGTCTGTTCCTTGTGTCCCGAACTTTTAACAGAACAATAGCTGAGAACATATCGTGGTGTTTTCACCTTGTCAAACATTTCTTCTTCTTCTTCTATTTTGCTTTCTATCCATCATTGTCTATCATATTTTTTTTACTTTCATTTCTTTATTTCCGTCTTTAACTTTTGTCTTTTTCCTCTTCGCATTTAGACTTTACACTTTTCCTTTCATTCCCTCCTCTTACTGTTAATCATTCTTATTCTCCTTCATCTTCTCACCTCCCTCCTTCATTTGTTTTTCCATCTTATCCTTCTCTTTTTCTTTAGCGTTTTCTTCTTCACCTTCCATCTTATTCTATTTTCCTTCTTTGTCATTTTCTCATTCAATATTGACATTATTATTATTATTATTATTGTTGTTGTTGTTGTTGTTATTATTATTGATAGTGTAGTATGAATTATATATAGCTTAAACATTATCTACATAAAAATCCCAATTTCATTTCCTCGAATCAAATCCAATGCAAAATTTGCCTCAGCCTGGGGCTGGTCAGATGAATTTTCCCCCACATTTTATAACAAGAAATTCTAAGTCTAAAAGTCTTGAAATTTTTTTCAGTAATAATCTCTGGTATATTTCACCTCTCGCGTATTGATCCCCACCAGGTTCTCTGAACACCACACCTTGTGATCTCTGATGATAACTAAAATTTACTTCATAGTTTAGCTACATTAGCAGATGCATATATAATAATTAACTTAAACGAAAATATCGCACTTATAGCTTTGTAGCGTTGTTCATTTTGTTTTAAATTAAAATTATAAATTATTTGTACTTATATTCAGATGATTGTGAGTTACTAATAATAACAATGTTAACAGTCAGAAATTTTTTTTTTCTGAAAGACAGCATCATCGTTCATAAAAATTCCATTTCGTTATTCGATATTGATAATATTTTTGTTTGTGAAATTAAACACATGGTGGCTGATAAGAAATAAATGAAAATTTATAATATTGTTTACTTTTTAGCGTGGTTGATAAATATATTTTAAACAACAAATTAAAATATATTTTAAAAAACAGATTCTAAATTCTAATTACTCCAACCTTTCATGTTATATCCATTTTTTTTTTCATTGCTATAAATTCTTATTTTTTTCCACTTCTTTATCGTGTTTTTTTTTTTTCTTTACGTTTCCTTATCACCATTTTTTTTTTCTGTTGTCGACACTATTTCCTCTGCAGACCCGCCTCGTTTTTCTCACATTTCTTGCTGCCGTTCTTGAGGTAAAAAGCAATTTTGTGCCATTATCTTTCACGGCATCCTATTATCATTTTACAAATAGCATTATAAAGAGATTGTCTTGTCGAGTGGACTTCGGACGACAAGGATGGGGGTCATGGTTAAGAATAAGGTGCACGCCATATTCTACGCTTTCTTTGTATTTCTGATGCTTTTTAGAACGAAAATTACTCTCCAGTGTGTCCCAAAATAGCATTCAGCCTCAACTCAGGAATATTAAAAATAAAATAACATTTTTCTCATACTCTCTCTCTCTCACACACACACACACACACAAACACGCGCACAAAAATACGTCTATATATATATATATATATATATATATATATATATATATATATATATATATATATATATAAAAAACTGAATTAGAATATCCTGAAGTTGTGTTTTTCAATTTGCCCAAACATACATGCAATCTACATGGGTTTCTTTGCACGTAATATAGCTGGGGGATAAGAAAAGGTTACAATTATGAGTCACTTGTTTCACAGCTTCCAAAATAAACAGTATTCTGACCATTTATTAATACACTGTCTATCCTTATTGTGCCTTAACACTTGACTGTTATCTCGCATACATATGATCAAAAAGATTGTGAAATGCAACTTGTATGTCATTATTATACATCACTTGCACCTTTTGGAAAGAAATAGTATGAGTTGCACATTGATTGGAGGACAGGCTTGGCTTTCCTTCCTGTCGAAGTACCTGACAACCATTTTGAAGTACGTGGAAGTGTAATATATTACAGGGTAATTATATCACTTTTCCTTTGCAGGAAAAGCAACTAAATTAGTTGAACATTATTCTGGTCGTACAGAATGCTACTCAACAATACCCACAAAACATCAATTCCAAGTTTGATTTTTAACTTGCGTTAATGCCTAATGCCTGATGTTGGGTCTGTGTTTTATAGATGATTACATTCTTGAAGATATTATTCCGCAGGTTCTCCGTAACATTAACTGACATTGAGGTAGTGTGTAGGCTGAACAATATAAAGACCCTTTCGTCCCATTTGGTGATCCTTGCGTCAACACGTGATTCCCAATGGATCGCGTTGAAGCTCATTGTCATTTTTACTTTGACCAGTGCTTTATTCAGTCTATTTCCTTTACAACACATCACCCATGTTGAAGATCTACTATGTGGTCATCCAGTACCTGTTCTAGGCGTGAGAAATGAACTTCATTTTCTTCTACTCTATATTATATCCCTACTGGAAGTGTGGATTTATCGGTCAAAACAACTTCCGATCTTTCATAGCTCTTATCTTTGTCTTTTTACTATCTTTCTAACATCTATTTACACAATATCTTAATGTAGGTCAATCGTTGTTTCCCTCTGCACCTCGTGTCTTCAATGTGTCTTGTGAGTGTCTAATATACTAATCCTTCTTTCCTCAACAAAGATGCACTTTCAGCTGTCTCTTTCTGATTCTAAGTAAAATTATTCTTTTTGTTTCCGTTTCCTTTAAAGCTTCCTCGTTGAATTCCTCATTCTTTTCTGGAACCATATCTCTGTTGCCCCATTTAGGACGATTGACATTACATAACATTTCGATGATTTTTTATTTGTTTCTTGTTTCTTTTTTATTGTTTCTTAATACATTGCCAAGTTTCTAGTAAGCAACGTTTGCTATCTGAATGCGTCTTCGGATTTCGGTGACGTATTTTTCGTCTGTCTATATTTCTGAAATTAGGTTATTATGTACACTATTTACATTGTTCGGACTATTGTCCTCATCTTTGCTGCCATATTTATCACAACATTTCGGTCCTTCATTATCTGTCTATATTTCTGAGATGAGGTATTATGTACACTATTTAAATTGTTCGGACTATTGTTCTCATCTTTGTTGCCATATTTATTACAACATTTCGGCCCTTCAGTATCTGTCTATATTTCTCAGATGAGGTTATTATGTACACTATTTACATTATTCGGACTATTGTCCTCATCTTTGTCGCCATGTTTATTAGAACGTTTCGGCCGTTGTACGCTCCGGTCTTCTTCAGGTGGTTGGAATGTCGAACTGAACCCTTTTATTTCGCTCACTGGGGTATACTGTTCTAGTTCCACGTGCCATGTCTAATGGATGTCAGTTATCATTTATCTCCTGTTAATTATCCTCTCCAAGTTCTCCACCGCCCTAACCAGGTATTGGACTCACACTTTTTGGGTCCTATCACTGGATCTAACCAACGCCTTTAACTACGGTCGAAACGTTGTGTTAAATGTGGCGACAAAGATGAGGACAATAGAATGTAAATAGTGTATATTTTTCGTCATCTGTTAAAACACTAGCCAGCGATCTAAACATTTGTACTTTTTTGATTATGACATCTCAAATTCATAGCTCGCATATTTGGCTGATCATGATAATCATACATTCTGTTCTTTTAAAATTTCTGTTTCTTTCATTCATTATTTTTTCTTTCCGGTTTCATTTGTATACTGTTGCTAAAATTGAAGAACAATTAACTTTCCCAAATCAACAGGGCCAACAAATACACTGGAATGACCATCCAGCCTCTAAAAATCTCCTTCAACTGATTCCTCTCAAACGGCTCTAATTGAAACAGTATGAAAGATGAAAGAAACCCCAAACAAAATGAACTGACATTATCAGCCAATGAATTTAAGCAAGAAACGGGAAATTGAACAATTAACGTCAACAAAAATATTGAAAACTAATTCATTTTTAGAACAAATACACTTAGATACATCTGTAATGTTTTCTCCAAACAATAGAAATATTTTTTAGGTTTGAATTCTGTCATTATTCTTATAAGATATTTTGAAGGGCATTGATGCAAAGCGTCAGTCATTAAATTGTTATATTAACTACAAGAAAATGAATGCATGCGATTAAAAAGAATAAACACTGTATAGTGCTTGATAAAATTGTAGAGATTGATAAATAGATACATAGATAGATATGAATAGAATGAGATAGATAGGTATGAACAGAGATAGATAGATAGATAGATAGATAGATAAAGAGAATGAAAATGAATAATAAATATTGTGGGTGAAGAGTCTAGCTAAAGTTTTCACAAGACATCTGTTTATTTATATCTGTCTATTTGATTGATTGATCGACTGATTTGTTTTTTACGGCTTATCAACCTTTTTCATGTTATTTAAAGCCAGAAGATACTTTTAGATTGTGAGAATCTTTTGAGATAATAATTATTTACTGAAACAAATCTTATTAATTAACCCATAGCGCGGGAAGAAAAGGTTGATTCACGTAAATTCAATTTCCGCTTAAATGAATACAACAAACCCAAATGGAATTGGAATTCGTCTCTCCAATTAATAATTCTGACTCGTTATCCATTACACACCCGTTACATCCAAACTGACAGCACCTGCTAGTCCCAAATGGTCACCCATCTCGTTACTGACCAGGCACGACGTTGATTAACTCCGGTGATTCTACGGGAACCGGTGTTTCCAGACCCCACTGCACCGGTGACTTAAATATTTGATTCTCTATTGTAAAATATAGATAATACCAACGACAATTTCTATGCAAACCAATTTTTGATTTTATTTTTCACAACAGTAATAAATTCGTTTCGAACGAGTTTGTACTTTCGTAAAATAATAAGCGAGAAAATGTGTACTTGTTCATTTCTGCAGCGTTTTCTATGAACATCGCTCTGTATTGCCTGAGGGCAAGACTTGTCCTTTATGACAAACTGACAGTGTCAATACCACTCTCTTCCAGGCTAACTGTCCCACCTAACATGAACATTTACAAAATCCGAGGCATAAGAGGATTTGAGGTGACTATTGACTCAGGTCAACTGTGACAAGAATTTGTAACATTTTTATAAGAATATAATTGACATAATATTAATTAAAAAAGCTCGAGTAAGGCTACTATTTAAGAAAACTTACTAGTTAGCGTTAGAAAATTGATTTGTAAAACTGGTTAATTAGTGTTAGGATATTAATTAGTAAGACTTGCTAGTTAGTGTTAGGATATTAATTAGTAAGTCTTGCTAGTTCGGTTTAGGGTGTTAATTATTAAAACTTGATAGGATTAGATAATTGATTAGTAAGACTTGCTAGTTACTGTTAGGATAATAATTCGTAATACTTGCTAGTTAGGGTTAGGGCATTAATTAATAAGACTAGTTAGGTTAGGATATTATTTAGTAAGACTTGCTAGTTTGGTTAGGTAATAATTAGTAAGACTTGCTAGTTAGTCTTACGGCATTAATTAGTAAGACATGCTAGTTAGGGTCAGGGTATTAATTTGTAAAATTTGATAGTTGTGGTTAGTGTATTAATTAGCAAGATGTTTTAGTTAGTGAAATAATTAATAAAACATTCTAGTTAAAGATAAGTTAGTAATTAATAAGACTTGCTAGTTAGATTAAATATTAGCAAGACTTTCTAGTTAGCGTTTGGTCATTAATTAGTAAAACAATCTTATTAGGCTTTAGCGTGTTAATTCGATTTGCTAGTTAGGATATTAATTATTAAGACATAATAAGTTTAGGGTATTAATTAATAAGGCTAGCTAGTTAGGTTATTAATTAGTAATACTTGCTAATTATGATTAGGGTACGAATGAGTAAAACTTGCGGTTGGTTAAGTGTTTTATCTGCGTCTGTTGCTGCTCTCAGAATAAATTTGAAAATTATTTACCTGCTTGTCAGTACGTTGAATGATATGCAAATGTGTTACACCTACTGGGCGCGTCTGGGTTCGAATCTTAGTTACTGCCACCAATATGCGATCCGGTCGATCCGGCGGTCGTCGCTACCCGGCGGGATACTTTGGTTAGGGTACCAAATGGGGTGGTTGGTCGATTCTGATGGCACGAATACGTAACAGTTTCACACCAGATACAAACCGTTCGACACCAGCTCCGTCGTTCTCAATTCGCTTCCAATGACTGGTTACTGAAGTAACTGTCTTGATCTAAAGTCTAACCTACTCAGGTTGTGATTTGATCTTAGGTTGACGAGATCAGTCAGGCACTGGGGCCGTCGTGCAAGGTGAGTCTTATCTGGAGGTGACGTCGCACAAGCAAAAAGAAATAAATGAAACCTAAAAGGTTCGGGTTTGTTTAAAGAAAGCAAATAATCTTTTATCAGTCTGTTCTATACAGGAGTGTGTGTTCTTCCCAACACGTTTCTTCTGAAAGTGACACTATTATATTTCTAGGCAAGTTATAGTCTTCTAAGTCAACTGGTTTAATTTTTAAGTACTGGCTTAGCTTCGTTCGTCAGTATACCTTTCTGTTTGTAGGAAAGAAAAGTCGGAGGCTTTTGTTGTGTCGGCAAGCGTCGTGGAATCTCTCAGTCAGCTCTCTCCAACTGCAAAACGCGAACTAGCGAACTGCCTGGGATTGCTCGCTTATATAGACCTCGACCAAAAGCCGGTGCGGGGTTAGCCTGGGGTTTTCGATAATACTCCGATTCCTACAAAGGTCTCTTTGATGTTTGGCTAGGAAAATTAATTACTTCCGATTTCGGCGGGGGGGGGATTCCTTCGTCCGTGAGGAGAGGTTGCAGGATAGTTATCTTCCCAAACTCCTTCCTCCTCACATTAGTACCTCACACCAATTACTTTCGGTGGGCGTTAGTAATTATCCGTCTTTCTTACTATTTTACTTCCGCCTATCACCACTGCTACCACACGACCAATGGCGTCTCGATCGTGCTGGTGTGGCTAAGTTTGCTTAATTAATTAACTCTTTGAAACCATTGCTTATTCAGGATTTCTCAGTTAGGATTATTAACTAGAACGTTGTTTAGGCAATTTCCTTTTCTTCCTGCCAAAATTCTTACAATTAACACATGGCGCTCTAGCCTGGCCAATTCCTTACTGATGAACTTAATATCTTATGCACTTTCCAACCGTATCTTACCCAGCACTTTTGGCGACCAGCATTAATCAATTGTCAAAGATCGCCTTTCTGTGAAATTATCGTTGACACAATTCTTCGGTTTCTTGAGATAAATAGACTTTTTGAAAAAAGAAAATAAAATCTTCTTTTTTTTTTCTTATGTCGAACGGTAGACCCTTCGGGATAATGTTTAACCCTTCTTTTCTCTTTTGCAACATTTTCCCATTCACTTTTTATGGTTAATTAGTTAATTAATTACCATATCTAAATAGTGTCACAAATGAACATCCATGAATTGATATGTATATTTATCTAATGTCTATTTATAGAGGCAAACGGGTCATATAGCGTTGAAACACTGGCTCCAGTACGATCACTGTAGTTCAAGAAAAATTATTCTTGAAGATTGCGTTCCAGACTTCGTCGGTTGGTGTTGATCTCAGTGTCTACTTTCATATTTACATACGCTCTATCCCTGATATTGAGCACTTTTACCACTAAATATAGCATACCTTAACATTATATAATCATATATAAATATATGTATGGGTGTGCGTATGTACATGTGGGATGCAAGGTAATAACACCTATCAAAATACGTTTGTTAAGAAAATGCTCAATAGAGAACTGGAACTCAATAAATTATTACAGGTGCAAGTAAACTGTATTAATTTATTGACTCTATATATAATAATAGAGTATAAATGTACTATACTCTACATAGACTCTATATATAATAATATAGTATAAATGTACTATACGTATAGAGGAATAATGCTGAATAGCGGAGATAGATAGCCTTGGATGGCAACTGGTCTAGGAGAAGGACAACTCTGAATTCAAAAGTCCTTCACCACTATAATCAAATCTCATGTACCGGTGTCGGGCTGTCGGTTTCCTGGAAACTGATCTGCTTGACCCTCATACGTTGAATCTCGACGGGAGAGTCGATTAATTAATTGATTAATATACATACATACATATATATATACATACATATATATATACATACATATACATACATATATATATATAACACACCTTTAGAGTATATTTCTTCATATCTATCTATCTATCTATCTATATATTATAAACCAGGTGAAGTTGATGGAAATAAAATGGGCGCTAAATTGCGAGTTCTAAATAGATTTTTTAGAATAAAAACATTTTATATGCGGATATCAGCTTATATGTTTTATTAGAGATATCATAACATTTTGTGGTGTTTGAATTTCTTAGGCAGCTCCGGAGATGTTCATTAAATATATATCTTCAATCGATATTATAGCATGTACTTGTCTTTGAAATAGAGATCGCATTTTTATTTTTTACTTTCAACAGAGTGTCTTACATCTACTGGCCTGCGTATTCGAGAAAACTTAATAAAAAAAATGAGCTCTACGGCAGGGATCGTACCTGCGTTTTTCCTTGTAGGAGAAATCATCGTTTGATCCAGCGAACTTTATCATTCGAAGTGCCTCAATATTCAAAGCCCTAATTCTCCTGTTTAAGGAAAGCAAACTTAGTCCCTAAGATATTTTTTCGAAAGCCTATATCTGCTGAGTTTTGTTTTAGTAACTCAAAGCAATTTCGTACATTATAAGCACTATATATATATATATATATATATATATATATATATATATATATATATATAATATATAATAAGTACATTATAATCAATATATGTATTTTATGTATTTATTTTTATATATATTTTTCTTATTTTTTCAGATAATCATCACCTAGAAAAACTACAACTTTATACTTTTTCATAATATAGTACTTATCGGAATATCGTCAGAATAAACATACACACACATGTCTCTATGAACAGACGATTACGCGTCATCATCTATAATCAAATGTGGATTTACCTTGAGATTGGATTTTACGCTTGGAATATTTTGTACATTTCACGTAAGTAAGCGTTTCTCTGTATATTTGATTGTTTTGTGCTGTGGTTTGAGATTAAAGGTTTTTGTTTTCTATTTCTTTGATATAAATGGAAAAGTATCAGGTTGTAAAATACATCCTCAGTAAAATATTTAATTGCTAAAGGAGCAGTTTTATTGAATTGTGGTGCCCTATGTTTTTTGATTCAGACATGACATGAATTTTTGCCGCATATTTTCTTTTGGAAGAAAAAAAGAATGTTCTTATATTCAAATAGTTGTTGCTTTGAAATCTTTATTCGTTTCCACATCGGAGAATCTGGTATTATCTGGTATATTGTACTTGTTGAAAACTGATTTTCTTGCAGATGTTATCAGTGTGATTTTATAACTTATCCCTAATAAAATCCATGAATTCCTTGCAAATTACCAATTCTGATTAAATTAGCTGCAAAATAACTGATATCGTACAGCTTTATTTTCTTTCTGTTAAATCTCATGTTAATAAATATTAATAGACGAGGTACAAAATAAATCTGGTTGTCATCTTCTAATATAACTTTGCCAGCATATGAGGATTTATTTACGTTAACACGTTCAACAAAACCGTTAAATTACATGAACATTCCTTTTTGAAATTCGCTACTTGTCTTCGTTTTTCTCTTTCGACATTATTGTGACTAATTAACAATTGTCT